GGGGGGGGGGGGCCTGGAGACCCCAGGGCTGGTTGCAGCGGCCGTTTCCCTGCACAGGGGGCCTTAGCACCATGGGGAGGGGGAGGAGAGAGCTGCAGGGATGCCATCCTTATCAGGTAGCACCCAGCCCTGGGCTCCTCCTCTTTGGGGACTCAGATGGAGCCTCCCCCGCCCTCCCCTCTCCCGGTGCCGCGGCATTTTACCCCCCCCCCGCAGCTCCATAGGGGCAGACGGAGGGCTGTAGGAGCCGTGCTTTGCCTGGGGGATCCTACAGCACCTCCCGCCCTACGTACGCGACCGGGGGGGGGCTCAGACACCGCGGGCAGGGGTGGCTGCTTTTGAAGAGCCCCCGACTGCCAACAAAGCCGGCTGAGCCCGGGCTGGATTAGTGAGTAAATCCTCCGTCCCACAGGCAATGCGATGCCCCCCGCCCCGGCCCCACACCCCGTGCACGGCCCAATGCACCCCGGCCGCTGCGTCAGCGCCCGGCGGCACGAGGGGTCCGACCCGGGGTGTCCCTGCTGGGGCCGGGGGGGGCTGCAGGGCAGGGCAGGGACGAGGAAAGCTCCGCGGGGTCTGTGCTCACTTATGGACCATGTCCTCCACGCTGACGCGGCCCCACACGCCCACCACGAAGCTCTCCACCTCACACTCGTTGACGCCGCGGGCGATGCGGAAATGCCCGTCCTCGCCCCACGCTCTGCCCCACGAGTTGGCCGCGGTCTGCAACGGGGGGACGCTGAGCGCAGGAGCGACCGTTCCCCTCCCCGGCACCAAATCTGGTGTTCAGATCTTCCCCGGGTTGCAGCCTCCAAGCAGGGGGCTGAGCCCGGCTGCGCTCATCACACCGGTACTCACCCAGTATTTTTGGATCTGGCCGTCGGGCAGCTGCTCCTCACCCCACCTGCAGCAAGAGGGCAGTGAGGAGGGACTGCAGGCCCCCCATGGGGATGCACCAGGGGGCTCTTGGAACACACCTTCTCCCTGCCCCCTGGGGAAACCAACTCCCAGCTCCAGCATCTTCCCCCAGGGCCAGGAGCCCCTCTGGGACCCCGGCACAAAGGTCTGTGCCTCCATCCCAGCCCCACAGCTGAGCACAGAATGCTCCCCACCGCTTGTGGCAGCAGCCCCAGTGCAGCCCAGCAGCCTCCTTCCCTCCTCGCTTCCTCTCCCTGCCCAGAGGAAGGTGGACGCCTTTCCTCCCCCCTAAGGAAGCATTTCTCCAGCCACTGTGATGCCCTGCACCCCCCCCAGACCTACCCTGTGATTTTCACTGAGTGCGTGCCATGCTGCTGGTGCTTCGGCCCCTTCCCCTCAGCCACTGGTGTGTGCCGATAGATCCCACTCTTGTACAGGAAAAAATCCTCGTGCACCTCCAGGATGGCTGTAGGGTCGAGGACAGGGGTTGGGTGCTCAGCTCTGCGTCCCCCAGAGCAGAGGGCGCGAGCACAGAGGACATGGGGCCGCGCTGGGGACATGGGACAAGGCTCAGCTGCGCGGGGGAGGAGGATTAAGAAAATAAAAATCAAATAAAACCAACTGCCGAGACAGAGATTAACTCTGAGAAGTTAATGAGCAACAGGTGCCAGCGGGCAGCTCCCTGGGGCTGCATTAAGCATTAAGCAGCAGCTGGGCTGGGGCAGCTCCTGAGTTGTTCCAGCAGCATCTGTCCCCCCCCAGTCCCCTCTCAGCTCAGTGCACCCCAGGGCACAGATCCCATTTCTGCAGGGCAGTGCCCCCCCCCCCAGCTCCCTACCTTGCACAGGGCCGTTCTCCATCAGCTCCTTCATGATTTCCTTCTCCTGCAAGCACAGAAACAGCCGATACCAAGGGCTGGGGTCCCCACCTTCTGACCCACAGCACCCCATGGACACCCAGCACGGTGACACCACCCCTCTTCTGCCACCTGCAGAGGCAGCTCCACATCCAACCCTGGCATCGCATCCCTCCCCTCCTTCTCTGCCCTGCTTTGATCCCCAGCTTGGCTTTTGCAGGCAGAACCGCCCCCAGCCCCACGGCTGCTCACACTGGGGGCCAGGCGGTAGGCAGGGGTGGACTGGTAGATCTCATTGCCGTGGCTCTGGGGGTTGGGGCAGCGTGCTGTGGCCTGCCTCTTGCCCCGGCCCGTGGAGCGGCTGTGCATCATGCAGGGCTGTGCAGCAGGCTGGCTCTCCTGACTGGTGAAGGGGTAGCACTCGTCTGTCACCACCCTGTGCGAGGGATGGGGATGAGAGGAGGAGATGGAAAACCTGGACACGTCCCCGTCCTCGTTGCTGTCCTCATTCTTGTCCCCGTGCCCAACTCCATCAGCATCCCCCTGCCACCCCATAGCCATCGCGATCCCCAGGTTACACCCAACTGCCATCACCATACCCATTCCTTCACCTTCCCATCCCTGTCCCACAACCACTGCCACCCCATTCCCATCCCTGTTGCTATCCCCATCACCACTCCCAGCCCTTTGCCTTCCCACCGCTGCCACCTTCACCATCATCACCACCATCCCAACCCACCCCCAGACCAACTGCCGCTGCCATCCTGCCACCATCCCCATCCCCCCCATCCTTGCTCACCCCCTCCTGCGCAGGTACCACCAGGCTCCATCCAGCCGCCCCCCGCTGCAGCCCCGCTGGTTGCGTGTGTCACAGGACAGGAGGTTTTGGGGCGACAGGGAGGGCGTCATGTGGCCCATGGAATGGATGGAGATGCGGTCGGAGGCGACGGCTGGGGACGAGCACGGCGGTCAGGGATGGTGACAGCCCCGGGGGTCCCATCCCACTGCGCCACGAGCCCCCATCCCCAAACCCATTGCATCTCACCTGCCGTGGAGAAGGCCCAGGAGCCGGCGCAGTTGCCCTGGTCCAGGGGCTCGTGGATCATCCCAGGCCATTTGGTGGCCGCATCAAAGTGGCGGGGCAGCACCTCGTTGGAGTCCATGGCCATCTGAGGGGGCACGGCCTCACGGTGTGGGGACCCCCGCTCCAAGGCACCCCCAGAGCTGCCATCCCTAGCGCCACCCCAGCCCCACCACAGACACCGCAGGCAGGATGTGGGTGCCGCCCTGAGGAGCCATCTCTCTCAACCTCTGCCAAATTCAGGCTCAGCAACAGCACCTCCAGTGCTGAGCATCCGGCCACGGGTGCCAACAGGGGGCCCTCATTGTGTCCCTGCTCCCGGCTCCGAGTGACGCCCGGCATTTCCGCCTGGAGGCCACGCGCTGAGCGGCCCTTCTGGGGAGGTCACAGCACCCAGGGCAGGAAATGCTGCTAAAATTAAACCTCGCAAGTCAAGGCCCTGCAATGGGTGTGAGCCGTGCGCTGGGCTCATCCTGTCCCCACGGAGCATCCTTTGGGGCCACCCAGCGCAGGAGGACTTCAAATTCTGGGCGTGACAAGGGACAGAGCCACAGGGTCCCACCGAGATGTCGCCACAGATGCCCCATGGAGCCCGCTATGGGGTCAGCAGGTGCCCCATGGGGCCGGCTCTGGCTGCAGCCCGAGGGCATCCCGCTCACACGGCTGTGCCGACTCAGCAGCTATGGGGCCGGCTTTCCGATGGGAACCCAGCAAGGAGGGAAGGGGCAAAAACAACACTGGCAACGCAGGGATTGCGAGGGGGAATGTGCTGAGCTGCTGTCTCCAAAAAGCGGGGCAGCTCGCAGCTTTGGGGCCGGGGGTTACAAGATAAGATCTGTGGGGTCCCACTCACGTGCATCTCATTCATGTTCATGACGGTGGGGGGCGGCCGGAAGGTGCCCAGGCGGTAGCGCATCCCGTCCTCCAGCGTCATGCCCCAAAACTGGCTGTAGTTGGCTGCTCTCCACCTGCACAGAGCACGGAATGGGGCTGGCACATCCACAGAGCACAGAGGGGTGAAGCACCCCTGCATCCCTTCAGTCGCTTACAGCCCTTACCCGTAATTTCCCCTGTTGACGGCGTCGATGAGGTCCCCATCCACGAGGCAGGCGTGCTCCTCACACTGCCACTGCCCTGCAGGGCCGCAGGTGCTGTGGGGAGGAGACAGTCAGCAGGTGGGGAGCAGCAACCCCAGGAATTGGGACCCCCAACACCAGCCTGGTCCCTGCAGCAGCCCCAAGGACAGAAACGAGCCGAAAACCCACCAGGGCTGCAGCAACCAGCAGGGTTTGGAAATGAGCCCAGGGAGGAGCTGCGCTGCCCTGAGCAGGGAGCACTGCACGACCCATGGGGGACCCGGGCGGGGGGGGGGGGGGGGGGGGTGTCCCCATGGGGAGCCCCCACCCGTGCTCCCCCCACATTCCCAGCAATGCTCGGCATCCAGCCCCGCTGCCCGCAGTGCGAGCTGCCGGCACGCCGTTCCCTTTTATGGAGCCGATCTGTGGGCAGAGCAGCCCCGCTCACCGCTCCCCATCCCCATCCCAACCACCCCGTTGGGGTCAGAGCACCGCCCAGACCCCAATTCCCACCATCAGCCCCTCCCAGGAGCCATCCCACATCCCAGCCATCGCCTTCAGCCCCACATCCCCACACAGGGCCAATCCCAAGGCTCCGTTTGGAGCAGGCAGTGTGAATCCCCCGATATCTGCTCTCCCCAGGCACTGTGAGGCAATGGAAAAACCCTGTAAGACGCTTCCCGAGCCCTTCACCCCTCGCTGCCCTCCTTGGCCGCAGCTCTGGTGACCCAGCTGCTTGCTGTTAACTCCTTGGGCACAAGCACTGAGCAGCCCAGCTGTTGGGGGCGTATCTGGGGTGAAGCCAAGCTGCGCACCCACAGCATCTCCCCACAACTCTCCTGCATCTCCCATGCTTTACATTTTCCTCCCATACAACCGCCCCGAGTCGGGGTGAAGCACAGCAGGAATTGCTCTCCGCATTCCAAGTGCAGGGGAAGAAGATCTGGGGCGCAGCAGGGATGATTTCCCAGCACAGAAAAAGCTCCTTTGAGCACGGAGGGGCCTCAGTTCCCCCAACTCCTTTGTGCCCAGAGGGGCAGCGGTGGGTCAGGGAGGGCTGTGCTCATCCTGCAGGGCTGCACGAGGCTGCTTGGGCTTGCAGGCGCACACACTGGTTGCATCCACGCACGCTGATGCACAGCTCCACATGGAGCATGGGATTTGCCCTCATCTCAGTGCAGCTCAGTGCTCCTCAGCTGCAGGTTCCGTGCTCCCCATCCCAGCATGCCCGCAGTGCCGTGTCGGAGCCAACCCCGGTGCAGCGCTGAGCTGCGTGGGGCCGGATCCCCACCTGGAGCAGGACGGGGCACGCTCAGCCCATCAAGCCGGGGCAAGCTGGGTGCGGGCACAGAAACCCCAAATATGCCACAGCAAAGGAACTTGCATCAGCCCCCGCCATCCGGCGCGGCCCCGCTCCCACCACGGCTGGGTTCGGGGTCAGGGTGCCACGCTGCGGGGCCGGCGCAGCACGGGGGCACTCACCACAGGTTGCAGTTGTCCCGGTACGTGGCCCCGCTGGGATAAGCGCGACCGGAGCGAACGCAGCCTGGGAGGGAGAGAGGTGGGCAAGAGGAGGGTTAACTGCAGGCTGGGACGGGATAAAGGGGCCACTGATGGCCGGAGCTGGCTCTGCTCTGCGGGGATTCTGAGAGAGCCTTGTGCTGCACGAGGGGGCCGCCCCGGTTCCCCCCCCTTCTCCCATCCCTCCCCCGCTGCCCACGGGGTGAAGTCGGGGACGGCGCGCCGTGCCCCAGACACGACCGGGGCGGCAGCCGGCCCCGTTCTGCCCCACAGAGCGGCTCCGCGGGTCCCACGAGTTCTGCCGCCGTCCGGACGCACGCATCGCATCCCGCAGCCGCGCACCGCTCCGGGGGGTTCCGCCTCACCTGCAGCTTTAGGGAACGGGGCCGGGATGCCCAGGCAGTACTCCCAGAAGTCGGGGCAGCAATCGGAGACGGTGCGGTTGCAGAAGAGGTCGCAGTAGCAGATGGTGTCGAGGTAGGGCACGGTGCAGCCGTCGTCGCGCCCGCGGCAGCAGACATCCCCGCGTTGGCAGTAGGAGCCGCCGGCATCGAACACCCCGTGCTCGTACAAACCCGGCGACAACTCCCGGCGCGTCCGCGTCCGGGCGGCCGAACCCAGCGCCGCCAGCAGCCAGAGCAGCGCCCAGGGCACGAGCGCGGTGCTGGCCATGTCCCCGGAGCCGCTGTACGGAATGGGGCGGTGTGCGTGGGGACCCCGAGCCCCCGGCGTCGCCTCGTGCCGGGCTCTGAGCCGCCGGAGGGGCTGGGACCTCGGAGCCAGGTGACGCGCAAATCCTTCGCATTCCTCATCTCCCGCCCAACTCCTTAACGAAGCGCCCACGCAGCTCCGGAGCGGAGATCCTCAGCCGCTCTGTGACCCCCCCTCCCTGCCCGGCTCCCCTCACTCCTCCCCCCATACGGCCTCACAGCCCCGCGTCCACGCTCAGCTCAGCCCCCCTTCCCGAAGCAAAGCTTTCAGGCGGAGCCCACGGCCGAGGGGCTGCGTGGGACGCCCAGGCCGAGCACGGGCTGCTCCCTATGGGGGAACCGGACCGTAAAGGCTGCCTGGGGGAAGCTCGGCGGTACCATCGCTGCGATGAGTTCCCCAACCTCAGCCCACGGCTGTCAGAGAAAAGGAGAGGAACGCGGCCCCGGGAACCCGCGAAAAACCCCTGGGGGACCCTAGGAGAACTCCTGAGGGGCTCAAGGTGACCCCGAATGGCACCGAAGCGGCACACCCGCGCCCGCCCCATACCTGCCGCCCCGCCGTGCACCGCTCCCCGCCGCAGCCGCTTCCGAGCGCCTCCTCCGGCCCCGCCGCTCCCTTATAGCCGCGCCCCGGGGGGGGGGGGGGGGCCGGGGGGGGGGCGGGGGGGGGGAGGGGGCACGGGGAGGTGCCGGGGGTATCCCGGGTAGGGGCCGGGCCGCGCTGCCCCACCCCGCGCCGAATGAGTTCGATGCCGCCGCCCGCAGAGCCCCTTCTCCTGTTGCTGCCGGGGTCCCGAGTTCTGCTGGGGGTGGGGAGGGGGAGACCCTCGGAATGCTGGGGCCAAAGAGAGCGCGCTATAAAAGCTCTGCGCACCCCGACCCGTCTGTCGCAGGGTGGGGGGTCCCCCGAGCAGCCAGCGCGTGGAGGGGGCCGTGTGTGCGTCCGTGTGCCCTGCACTGCGTCTGCCGGGGCGGAACGCGGCTGTCCCGCTGCTGGGGTGCAAGCTGGGGGTGAATACAGGCAGCCCCTGGCCCTCCCACCTGCTGCACTCTGTTCCTCCCGGGGAGGTTTGGCCCCGAGGAGCGGCACCGGCGCTGCCGAGGGATTCCCCGAAGGAGCTCCCGGTGTCCGACGGAGACAGCGCGACCCCCGGGGGTCCTACAAGAGCACCCCTCTCCCCGGCCCCCCCACCTCCGCAGGCAGCGCAGCCCGGTGCTCCTCCAAGAGCTTTTTCCTGAGCACGCGGTCTTGGACCGCCGAGAGCTTCAGGAAGGAACTGGGCCGGAGCCCGGCTGTCTGCAGGCACACGGACAGGAATTCGGAGTGAGTCACGAATTCTCCGAGACCCTCCGGGGACAGAGCAAAGCCACCGCGAGAGGGACGCGGGACATCGCCTCTTCTGCTCTGTATCCTCCTGCCTTTCTCCCCCGGCCCCCCCCCCCCCCCGCAATACGGGCAGCAACACCCGCAGCCCCACGCTCCTCCCGCAGGTGCCCTTGGCGGCCGGCAGGACGCACGGCCACATTCGCTGGGCCACAGCCTCGTCCCCGTCTGTGCCACACGCGGCTGCAGGGGGCATCGCACACTTGTGCTCTTTGCCCCGCGTGGGTGAGGCTGCAGCCACGACCCGGAGCGCTGCGCAGAGCTCAGACCCGGAGCAATGGGGGCACGCGGGGGCTCAGCCTTTTGCATGGCCGGAGCCCCCCTCAGTGATGCACGGACCCCACTGCGGGCACAAGGAGTGACCTCCCTCCCCCCCCCCCCCCCTCCGAGAAGCTCTGCTGCCCGCTGGGAGCCGAGCAGAGCAGAACGGGGTTTTCCTGCTCGCCCCGACCTGGCTCTCCCTTCAAAGCAGCCCCGGAGGTACCGCAGCCAGAGCTGCACCGCCAGCAGGTGGGGGTTCCCCGGGTTGCACCCCGCACCCCGAGCGCTCAGCGGGGCCACCCAAAGGCTCCGTCCCGACGCGGCCCGGCTGCTCTGGGGGGCGGGGGGAGCGGCAGAGGGGCTGCAGGGGTCGCTCCATCGCTGCGTGGCGGTTGCGGGACCGGCTGTTGGCGAAGGCTCAGCCAGGAAATGCGGCGAAGGAGCGGCCGAGAGTCCGGCTTCCTTCCGGCAATGGGGGCGGTGCTGGGACACTGCGGGCGGGGGGCCGCGTGCCCAAGGGGGTCTGACACCCCCCCCCCCCCCCCGGGGGGGGGCTGCAGCACTGTGAGGACGGGTCTCGCACCCTCATCTCGTCTGGAACGCTCCTGAGGCTATCGCAACGCCATGCCCGTGTGGGGACGCGCCGTTTGGGGACACCACACCGCCCCGGAAAGCACAGCCCCTCTGCCGGCCGAGGTGGGGCAGTGGTTGGGGGGGGGGGGGGGGGGGGATGGGCGCCGGGTGCTGCGGTGGGGCTGGAGTGCCACCTCTCGGGAGAGCGGGGGCAGAAACCAGGCGGGCAGGCGGCGTCTACTTCAAAGTTTAATGAAAGAAATAAGTTAATAAGTTAATAAAGTGAGGTAACTACGGGCGGCTGGGGGGGGAAAAGAGGGACTGAGGGGCCCAGCCAGCCCCGGGGAGGAGCCCTACGGGTTAAGGACTGAGCGGGGCTGGGGGTGAAGCTGTCACATGCACCCTCATTCCAGGGCCGGGTACCCACGGCTGTGCATCACCCCCTGGGCACCCCCGGCCCCACGGCACAGCCCGGGGGGCTGCGAGCACAGCCCATGCTGTTCGCATGCACTACGGAGGGAAAGGAGGGGCTGGAGGCATCCCAGGGCACAGCCCTGCTGGGAGCAGCAGCAGAGTGGGGTTGGGATCCCCCACGATTCCAAGGCAAAAGGGGGCCCCACGAGCCCCCCCGAGGGGTACCAACAAATTTTGGCACTACTGCGGTGGGGGACTGGAAAGCAGCCCTGGTGCAAGCAGCGTGCAAAGGGCGCCGCCGCCGCGCCGTCCCCACCCGCAGTCACCCCCAGGGGACAGGGACAAGCAGGGAAGGAGTCAGTCCTCCAGCGGGGGCAGGGAGGGATGCTCCTGGTTCCTCCTGCCCGGCCTCACAGCCTCGGCGCCGCCCTCCGGGGGGATCTGAGCCCCCTGCAGAGCAGGACGCCGCCCCGCGTGCTGGCAGGAGGTTCTTATTGCCTACGTTGGTCCCCCGGGCGGCTCTTCCCGGGGGTGTTGCATATTAAGACATTATTGCATATCTGTCTCTTACATATACGGATAGATGCTGCCCTGGGAGCATGCAGGGGCAGAAGGTTCTGCTGCACTTGTGGAGGTGCAGCCGCAGCCCCGTGAGCGGGGGGAACCCTGGCAGAGGAGGGCGATGGGGGGTAACCCCCCCCCCCCACCCCGATAAGACCCCATGGGGTTGTGCCCAAGGGCTCAGCTCCGGAGCCGGAGCCTTGCATAGCTGTGCCGGTCCCAGCGTGGCTCTGGGACGTGCAGGACCCCCATGGGGAGGCGGACACCCACCCTGGGCTGGGGGCTCCCAACCCCCCCTGGAGAGAGCGGCCACCGCAGCACTGCCGCTGCCCCCCATCCCCACCACAGCGCTCAGCACAGAGCGCCGCTGCTGCCCAGCCACGAGGACGCTGAGTTCAAGTAACGCAAAGAGGGACGCAGCTCAGTGGGGCCAGGGCTCCCCACGTCCCCACGTCCCCCCACGGCCGGAGCCCATCCCTGCGGCCCCATCCCCCCGCTCAGTCCATGTTGGCGCTGCCCGACCTGGAGATGCTCAGCGTCTGGGCTGACGCCGACACGTCCTCGTGCTCCACAGGGCTGTGGTAATCCGACGTGATGTCGGGCTCGCGGGGCAGCGGCACGGCGGCCAGGCTGAAGGAGTTGGCCGAGCCTTTGCGCAGGCACTGCGAGTAGAGGCCGAGCAGCAGGTCCAGCTTGTGCTCGATGGACTGCACCTGTGGGCACGGGATGAACCATGGGGTGGTGACATGGTGACATGGTGACGTGGTGACGCGGTGATGCGGTGACACGCGGACATCCCCTCCATACCTGCCTCTCCACTTTGACCACGCGGCCCATCATGCTCAGCTCATCCACCAGCTCTGCATCCAGCGCTGCCTTCTCCCCCTTCTCCCTGATCTTCTTGTCAGCAGCAGGGCCCCCCCTGCCCACAATCTGGTCCACGCTGCAGGGAAGGGGACACGGCGCATCACTCCCAATGGACTGGGGTCACGGGGATGGGGCCCCATTGGTGGCCGTGGGGCTGGCAGGATGTGCCCCACGTAACTGGGGATGGGCAGGACCCAAGGGTCTCCCTTCCCTCCCTGGGGCCATCTCACCGTGTCTGCAGGCTCTTGATCCTGCCCAGCATGTCCAGGTGCCCGGCTGAGTACTGCTCAATGACGTCCTTCACGTCGTAGGGCCGCAGGGTCTCCTTGAATTTCCTCTTGGCCACCAGGAACTTGAGGATCCTGCGGGGGGGGGGGGGGGGTTGGATGCAGAACGGCCAGCACCCGGGGCTCTGTTTGCTGCTATGGGGTTGTGGTGGGGACCCAGCCCCCGTGGCTCTGGTGTCCCGGTGCCCGGGGCTGGATGCGCTCACCGCACAGCACGGATCAGGGTCTTCACTGCTGGCATGATGTCCTCGAAGGTCAAGTCGCAGTGGGAGCCCTTCTCCTCGCCGCTGTCCTCTGGTGGGCACTCTGCTGCAAGGGGGAGTAGCAGAGGTCTCAGCCCCCACACTGAGCCCCCCCAAGGCCCCCTGTGTCCCCCCCGGCGCTCACCCTCAGGTTGCAGCCGCGGTTTGAGCCGCAGCGATGCACGGAAGCGCGTGCGGTCGTTGAAGCTCCAGCTCTTGTGCACCTTGCTGGGGCTGGGGGCTTCGGGGACGGCCTCGGTGCTGGGGGAGCGGTGCAGGGGGGGGGCCAGGTGCAGGCGGCCGCGGCTGCCCAGGCGCTGCGGGGAGCCCAGGCGGATGCGCTCCTTGATGCCCATCTTGGTGCTGCGAGGGGGGGTGGGGGGCAGAATGAGTGCCTGGCGGGTGCCCGGGGAGCAGGGATGGGGACGGGGGGTGAAAGGGATGGGCAGAGCCCAGCACGTGAACTGGGCACGAGCTCAGGCTGGCAGCAGGCGTCACTGCATGCCCGTGCAGAGCAGCCTCTATGCAGCTCTTTCTGAGAGCAGAGAGAGGAGACAGACGGACGGTGGAGGGACAGACAGGTGGGGACACGCAGCAGAGCAGTGCATGGAGCAGCCCCGTTCCTGCTGACACGTGGGGCCGGCCGGGCCCTGCCATCCTCCTCCTTCTCCTCCTGCAGGCTGCACCACCATTCTGCTCTGCTCCTGCTGCAAACTCTGCTCCCGAAACCAACCCCTCTGCTGGCTGGGGGGAGGTTGGGGGGGGGGGGAGCAGAAGACATCATTTATGTAGGACCGACACAAAAACACCTCCTGGTGCTGCCTCTGGGGTGATGGGGGACTGCAGGCTCACGTTGAGACACGAGAGGAGGCCAAGCAGAATGGGACCCAAGAACAGAGGGAGTCAGAGCTGGGCAGGACACAGCACACAGCGCAGTGCAGGGAGACACCTGCTGCTGTGCAGGGGCCACAAAACTGC